TAATGTAGGGTATAGGGCATGGAATATGAATGTTGCAGTGAGGAGGTTGGAGGCAGTGGGGTGTTGTTGATGGGGGGCAGTGGGGGGTGCATGTCTGAGGGTGGGGGCAGGGGGTGTCATGTTGAGGGGGTGGAGGCAGTGGGGTGTCAGTCTGAGGGCGGAGGCGGGGAGGGTCATGTTATGGGAAGGTGGATTTAATACTATGTAGGAATTTGGGTTTTTGGGGATTTGGGGGGGGTTTTAGAGAAATCAAAAGTATTTTTCTGGGGACTGGGACTTGAGCCCCGGGGGTGGAAGTATAGTGCCTGCATCTGAAGGGGGGGAGTGAGGATGTTTCGTTTTGAGCATCACAAAAATGTGATGTTCACCCCTTTGGGGAAGACAGTGATTTTAATGAGAGACATGAGGGTTTTCCTCTTTGTTGGGTATCCCTCAGTGGGAAACCACAGAATGTAAAAAATTAAAAGTGTGTTTTAAAAAAACCTGTTAAGTAAATAAAAGCTACAGACTTAATTGTAAAAAAACAATAGAAAAATTTTTTAACTGAGGCTATTTTACCTGCAAACGTTTTGACTCAATCCTGGCAAGATAACTTGGGTTTTTTCAGACCAAAAAACACTTTATAATGTAGGCACAACACTGTGACAATGATGACACTAACTAAGCCACCACAGTTCCCCCGCACCAACATTATGAAATATAATGCCTTTTACCCAGTAAAAATGGGTTTTGGGGAAACCTTTTAGAGATTCAGTGAGTTATAAATATTAACCTTCAATTTTAATCATTTGTACTGAAATTTTAAAATTTTTCCCCTTCCAAAAATGTAAATTCTATTTTCAGTCTTTAAGCATGGTAAAGTAACCCAAAGCCCATGAAAAATTTTTTCACTTTCTGTTTTAATTCTTGCCCCATATTTCTAAGCACGCCTTCACTTGGAACGTCCTGACATGAACCACACATAAAAAAAACATGTTAATATCATGCTTCGCAATAATTTTCCCCACTGTCTAATCTTTTTTAGATCACCCAGCTCTCTTAAATTAGGGGGAAAAATTACAGGGCTACTGATAAGCCAAAAGGAAAGTAAATATTGTGAAAAGTGAGTGTAAGTAGAGTTTGTTTTTAATTTTGAGGATAGCACTAAAAACCCACGGTCATAAGTGCCGGGGAAAAGGGAAGCAATCAGATTCCATTTAAGGAAAAGGGGAGTAGTTTTTAGTTCCCTTGGATCAAGAGTCTATTATCAGTATCAAAGCACCCTTAAAGGAAACTGTCATCTTAACCTTCTAGAAAAAAAAAAAAAAAAAAAAAAAAAAAAAAGGCAATCCTGTCAAAAGGCAAATAACTATCAGGGTTCCATTACACACTCATACTACAGTAGGGGCTGTAGTTTTTCGGGGGGGATTGTGGTCTGGGATTAAGTTACTGGCCCGGGGGGATTATGGTCCGTGGGGGAGTTGTTCAGGATACAAAGGGTGCCCCAAGGCAAGGCCCCGGAGTAAAAAAATCATAAAACCCATCAAAGGTTTACCTGGATGTTTGCTCACTACCAATGACCGCACATTAACCTAAGTCAAAAACTGTACTGTATTTTTTTTTTTTTTTTTTTTTTTTCAACAAGTCGGCCGTCTCCCACCGAGGCGGGTGACCCAAAAAAGAAAGAAAATCCCCCAAAAAGAAAATATTTTACATCATTTAAACTTTTTCACCCCACTCCCCTTATCACTGTTTTTGCAGAGGGGCTCAGAAAAAAACTCAGAAGCTACACATATAAAAAATACCAAAAAACCCTCCAAACTGCCAAAATCCCAAACCCCTCCTTAAAGTGCAGGCATTGTATTCCCCTTTCCAGGATCAAGTCCGTATATGAAAATAACCCGGGTTTCCCCAATCCCTTCACTAAATTTACCCTGCTCACCTCCCAAAAGATCGTCGGTCCCAAGTACCATTCGTTCCCTTCCCTCCCTTTTAACACGCTCACGCACGCTTGTGGAAATCCAAGCCCTTACCCCCAAAACCCCCTTTTCCCCCCCCTCCAACCCTTTCGAGGACGACCCCTACCCCGCCTTCCCCTTCCCCTATGATTTTATATGCTTTCCATGTCATTCTACTTTGATCCATTCTCTCAAATGACCAAACCACCCAAAAACCCTCTTCTGCCCCCTGACTAATATTTTTTTAACTCCACCCTTTTCCTAATTTCCCACTCCGAATTTCGCAATATTTACACCAACATTTCCCTTAAACAGGAATCCCACTGCCTCCAAACCCTCTCCCGCTGCTGCATTTACCACCCCCGCTTCCACCCAATAAGGTGTTTTGGGACCTTACATACTTTTTTAAATTCCCTTTTTGCCTCCCTAGATAACGTTTTTGACTCCACATAACCTCAAGCACCCCTACCCTTTTTTCCCCCTCAATTCTATATTAAAACCCCCCTTCATAAAACCCTCCGCCGACACGCAATCCCAAATATCGAAAACATTCATTCTTCCATAACCCCCTCCCCAATTTAATCCCAATTTTTCTTTATCTAAACATTTGACACCCTCACACCTTACCTTTTTAGTTTACTTTCAACTTTTTACCCCTTTTAAACCCTTCCCCCAAATCATCCACTAACCCTTTTCAATTTTCTTTAGAATCTCCCCTAAGCACAGTATTCAGCAAAAGTAACTGTGCAATTCCCCTTTTGAATTGATTCCATAAATTTTAATCCACCCCTCTCCCAAACACCCTAGCATTTACTTCCTTAACAACCCCCTCTAAAATAATTAAACAACCCTGGGGACATTACACTCCCTGTCTAAACACTTTTACCGGGAAATAGTCTCCCCCTCTTCTACACCCCCCTAACCTGAGCCTACTATCTTCATAAAAACTCTTTACAGCATTTAATAACTTACACCTATTCCATATACTTGCAACATCTGCCACATTGCTCCTCTATCCACTCTATCATATGCCTTTTCTAAATCCATAAATGCAATAAAAACTTCCCTACCTTTATCTAAATACTGTTCACATATATGCTTCAATGTAAACACTTGATCTACACATCCCCTACCCACTCTGAAACCTCCTTGCTCATCCGCAATCCTACATTCTGTCTTACCTCTAATTCTTTCAATTATAACCCTACCGTACACTTTTCCTGGTAACTCAGTAAGCTTATTCCTCAAATAATTTTTACAGTCTCTTTTGTCCCCTTTCCCTTTATATAAAGGGACTATACATGCTCTCCGCCAATCCCTAGGTACCTTCCCCTCTTTCATACATTTATTGAACAAAAGTACCAACCACTCCAACACTATATCCCCCCCTGCTTTTAACATTCTGTCATGATCCCATCAGTACCAGCTGCTTTACCCCCTTTCATTTTTACGTAATGCCTCACGTACCTCCCCCACACTTACATTCTGCTCTTCTTCACTCCTAAAAGATGGTATACCTCCCTGACCAGTGCATGAAATTACTGCCTCTGTTTCTTCCTTAACATTTAAAAGTTCCTCAAAATATTCTCGCCATCTACCTAATACCTCCATCTCCCCATCTACTAACTCCCCTACTCTGTTTTTAACTGACAAATCCATATTTTCCCTTGGCTTTCTTAACTTGTTTAACTCACTCCAAAATTTTTTCTTATTTTCATTAAAATTTTTGACAGTGCCTCTCCCACTCTATCATCTGCTCTCCTTTTGCACTCTCTCACCACTCTCTTTACCTTTCTTTTACTCTCCATATATTCTGCTCTTCTTATAACACTTCTGCTTTGTAAAAACCTCTCATAAGCTACCTTTTTCTCTTTTATCACACCCTTTACTTCATCATTCCACCAATCACTCCTCTTTCCTCCTGCACCCACCCTCCTATAACCACAAACTTCTGCCCCACATTCTAATACTGCATTTTTAAAACTATTCCAACCCTCTTCAACCCCCCCATTACTCATCTTTGCACTATCCCACCTTTCTGCTAATAGTCGCTTATATCTCGCCCGAACTTCCTCCCCCCTTTAGTTTATACACTTTCACCTCCCTCTTACTTGTTGTTGCCACCTTCCTCTTTTCCCATCTACCTCTTACTCTAACTGTAGCTACAACTAAATAATGATCCGATATATCAGTTGCCCTCTATAAACATGTACATCCTGGAGCCTACCCATCAACCTTTTACCCACCAATACATAATCTAATAAACTACTTTCATTACGTGCTACATCATACCTTGTATAATTTATTTATCCTCTTTTTCATAAAATATGTATTACTTATTACCAAAATTTCTTTCTACACATAGCTCAATTAAAGGCTCCCCATTTACATTTACCCCTGGCACCCCAAATTTACCTACTATTTCCCTCCATAACATTTTTACCCACTTTAGCATTGAAATCCCCAACCACCATTACTCTCACACTTGAGTCAAAACTCCCCACGCATTCACTCAACATTTCCCAAAATCTCTCTCTCTCCTCTACACTTCTCTCTTCTCCAGGTGCATACACGCTTATTATAACCCACTTTTCACATCCAATCTTTATTTTACTCCACATAATCCTTGAATTAATACATTTATAGTCCCTCTTTTCCTGCCATAGCTTATCCTTCAACATTATTGCTACTCCTTCTTTAGCTCTAACTCTATTTGAAACCCCTGACCTAATCCCATTTATTCCTCTCCATTGAAACTCTCCCACCCCCTTCAGCTTTGTTTCACTTAAAGCCAGGACATCCAGCTTCTTCTCATTCATAACATCCACAATCATCTCTTTCTTATCATCTGCACAACATCCACGCACATTCAGACTTCCCACTTTGACAATTTTCTTCTTCTTATTCTTTTTAGTAATCTTTACAGGAAAAGGGGTTACTAGCCCATTGTTCCCGGCATTTTAGTCGACTTTTACAACACGCATGGCTTACGGAGGAAAGATTCTTATTTACTTCTCGAAAATCAAGTAGCAATTTTTACCAATACTCCAGCTAGTAATTTACCTGTGGTCGAGGAAAAGGAACTTCCACTCCAGGCTATGTCTTGAAGTAAATTCAGTCTTGGTTGGTTCAATAATCATCATTTCTCGTACGAGTTGAGGCCTCTCCATTCTTGCTATTGCCACAAAGACTAATCTGTTCCAATTAAATTATCAACAAATTTTATCAAAATAAAATATAATAAACTAGGAAATGTTCTGAGATAAGCTACAACTTTCACTGCCAGTATATGTAACATAAGAGATGATCAAGTGCTAGACCACCATCTTAAGACACAGAAAAATAAAGAACAAGAGAAATGATGGAAATTCTTATTATATTCACTGTTAAACACTAAATCCATTAGGGTCATGCAGTGCCTTGGAAACGGAGGAGGTGGAAGGTAATTAATTTTGATCCAAGGAACAGGAGGTAGCTATAATTCTCAGAATCAAGAGCCCTTCACAGCATCATGAAACCCACTTCAAAGGGAAATATAGAGAAAGACAGAACTGAGCAGGAGGGTCAAGACTAATTTTTTTTAATACATCGGCTGTCTACCACCAAGGCAGGTGACCCGAAAAAAGAAGAAACCGAAGTTTTTCTTATTTTTACATTTTATAGTTTATACAGAAGAAGGGGTTACTAGCCCCTTGGTCCCAACATTTAAGCTGCCTCTTACAGCATGCATGGCTTACAAGGAAGGATTCTTCTCCACTTCCTCATGGAGAGTAATTTCTTTATTAGACTGAATTCTACTAAACTAAACTACAGAAGGAAGTAGTGCAGAGACACACAACAAAACACACACTCACTCACTCTCTCTCTCACTCTCACTCTCTCTCTCTCTCTCTCTCATGAGGTTGAGTAATGCATCACACCAGTGACAATGCCTACATCTGCTGCACCTCCTTTATCTGGCACCTGTATATAAGCACCAATCTTCCAGCCTGTGCCTCAAATTCTTCAAGACTACAGTGTTCTTCACCAACTCTAAGAATGATAACCTGATTACCTCATTTTCTGTATATATTTCTTCACATCATATCCCTGTATTGTATTAATAAAGCCACTTGTTGGTGAAACGTCTACAAATAAAGATACTGGCCCAGATGCTGCACGTGTGTCTAGTTCTTTATCTTGTCAGTACTGTATACCATTCACTTACGCCATAAAAAGTTATGCATAATATTTTTCTCACACGGGAGCTGTTTTAGTCATATACCCTATAACTCATTTACACTTTTTTGACACAAATAACCCGCACATAAAAGAGAGAAGCTTACGACGACGTTTTGGTCCGACTTGGACCATTGACAAAGTCACACTGGTGTGACTTTGTCAATGGTCACACTGGTGTGACTTGTCAATGGTCCAAGTCGGACCGAAACGTCGTCGTAAGCTTCTCTCTTTTATGTGCGGGTTATTTTTGTATCGTTCCAGTCACGGTATTGTGCCTTTTTGTTATTTACTTTTTTAACACATTGGCCATCTCCCACCAAGGGAGGGTGACCCAAAAAAGAAACACTTTCACCATCATTTACACTATGAATGTCTTGCCAGAGGGCCCCCACTCTTATGTTCATTAATAATTACTGGATATGTCTTAATTTTCATACCTAATGATACACCTCAAATTCTAATTATACTGTTCTATCCAGTATACTGTACTTTATTTCTTATACAGTGGACCCTTGTTTTTTGTAAGGCTCAAAAGTCATAATTTTCGGAAAGGGTAACTTTTTTTCATCAAAACACTGACTCGTGAAACGTCATTTGACTCGCAAATAGTCGTTCGTCTGGGACATGTACACATGGCCCCGAGCCGCCTCACACTCCATTCCGCCAGAGTGTGCCATTGTTAATCAGTGAGTGAGGACGATCCCACGAGTTCGTACAATACATTTCATAATATTCCATTCATTTTAGTGCTTGCAACTGCTAAATAAGTCACCATGGCTCCAAAGAAAGCTTCTAGTGCCAGCCCTTTGGTAAAGAATGTGAGAAACACATATATTTAAGAAAAAGGGTTTTTAGAAAAATACGAAAGTGGTGGTGGTAGAGTGGTAGCAGTTGTGATAGTGGTAGAGGATGGTAGTGGTTGTGATAGTGGTAGAGGGTGCCTTCTTCAGGGATTCAGCGATTCTACTAATTCCTCCAATGTTGTTGGAGTTGTATAGAGCTACAGAAAACATCGCCACCTCAGCTGCAGCCTTCACCACCATTATGGACGATTTATGCTCACAGTGGCCCTTATACACCCAACAACAACACAACACAACACAACACCTTTCGTGACATACATAATGACTTATTTTATTCATTCTAGAGTATATTCCATGGTTCTATGTTATTAATATTGTTTATTATGCTATATTAGTTGAATTGTGATAGATAAATAAGCCACAGAGTTGATATTAGCTTCATATTCTCCAACAATAAATTCGCCTTCCCTCCCTCTGCCCCGTCTGCCATACACCAACAAGAATCTTCAATAAAGGTAAGTGTGATGTTAAATGTTCATTTATACATTTTATTAGTGCTCTACATTTATTTGGCATTCTTTTCTGCATGTAAAGCTATATTTAAGCTAGGGAAGTGGCCCCTGAAGTGACCTCGAGTCCTTATGGAGGGGGATTCCCCTTCCAAATAATAACCTCTCTTCCCTCTCTCCTCCTCCCTGTTTTCCATTCATCAACAGCAATCTTCAATAAAGGTAACTGTCATGTTGAATGGTCATTCTTTTGCGCATGTAAATCTATCTTTAAGGTAAAAAAAAAATTTGTTGATACTTCTGGGTGTCTGGAACGAATTAATTGGATTTACATTATTTCTTATGGGGAAAATGGATTCGCAAATTGTCAATTTCTATAATAGTCACACTCTCTGGAACGGATTAATTACAAAAAACGAGGGTCCACTGTACATAGTATTATATTTTTTCTTCCAGAATCGAAAAAGCATTTTTAGTTTTAATGTTGAAATGTAAGCTAATGGCCACCAACTTAGTTTCTCATTCCTTCTCAAATTCAAAATTCTGAGAGACTTACTTTGTGGTTTCCTGAGACACTTGTGGGTGGACGAGGGAACTCTGAAACAAGCCTCCACCACCATTTCGACTACAACTACTCACAGATACGGAATCCTCAGCTTCACTGCAGCTAAAGTCGAGCACTCCATCTGTGAATAAAAATTCGTTGGGTAACAGTAGTGGGTAAATTTCGGGTGCCAGGGGTAAATGAAAATGGGGAGCATTTAATTTAGCTATGTGTAGAAAGAGGTTTGGTAATAAGTAATACATATTTTATGAAGAAGAGGATAAATAAATATACAAGGTGTGATATAGCACGTAATGAAAGTAGTTTGTTAGATTATGTATTGGTGGATAAAAGGTTGATGGGTAGGCTCCAGGATGTACACGTTTATAGAGGGGCAACTGATATATTGGATCATTATTTAGTTGTAGCTACAGTTAGAATAAGAGATAGATGGGAAAAGAGGAAAATGGCAACAACAAGTAAGAGGGAGGTGAAAGTGTATAAACTAGAGGAGGAAGTTCGGGTGAGACATAAGCAACTATTGGCAGATACGTTGGCTGGTGCAAGTATGAGTAGTGGGGGGGTTGAAGAGGGTTGGAATAGTTTTAAAAATGCAGTATTAGAATGTGGGGCAGAAGTTTGTGGTTATAAGAGGGTGGGTGCAGGAGGAAAGAGGAGTGATTGGTGGAATGATGAAGGGAATGATAAAAGAGAAAAAGTTAGCTTATGAGAGGTTTTTACAAAGCAGAAGTGTTATAAGAAGATTAGAGTATATGGAGAGTAAAAGAAAGGTGAAGAGAGTGGTGAGAAAATGCAAAATGAGAGCAGATGATAGAGTGGGAGAGGCACTGTCAAGAAATTTTAATGAAAATAAGAAAAAATTTTGGAGTGAGTTAAACAAGTTAAGAAAGCCTAGAGAACGAATGGATTTGTCAGTTAAAAACAGAGTAGCGGAGTTAGTAGATGGGGAGATGGAGGTATTGGGTAGATGGCGAGAATATTTTAAGGAACTTTTAAATGTCGATGAAAAAAGGGAGGCGGTAATTTCATGCACTGGCCAGGGAGGTACACCATCTTTTAGGAGTGAAGAAGAACAGGATGCGAGTATGGGGAAGGTGCGCGAGGCATTACGTAGAATGAAAGGGGGTAAAGCAGCTGGAACTGATGGGATCATGACAGAAATGTTAAAAGCAGGGTGGGGATATAGTGTTGGAGTGGTTGGTACTTTTGTTTAATAAATGTATGAAAGAGGGGAAGGTACCTAGGGATTGGCAGCGAGCATGTATAGTCCCTTTATATAAAAGGGAGGGGGGACAAAAGAGATTGTAAAAATTATAGAGGAATAAGTTTACTGAGTATACCAGGAAAAGTGGTTATTACTGAAAGAATTTGAGGTAAGACAGAATGTAGGATTGTGGATGAGCAAGGAGGTTTTAGAGTGGGTAGGGGATGCGTAGATCAAGTGTTTACATTGAAGCATATATTTTTATTATTTTTTTTATTATCACACCGGCCGATTCCCACCAAGGCAGGGTGGCCCGAAAAAGAAAAACTTTCACCATCATTCACTCCATCACTGTCTTGCCAGAAGGGTGCTTTACACTACAGTTTTTAAACTGCAACATTAACACCCCTCCTTCAGAGTGCAGGCACTGTACTTCCCATCTCCAGGACTCAAGTCCGGCCTGCCGGTTTCCCTGAATCCCTTCATAAATGTTACTTTGCTCACACTCCAACAGCACGTCAAGTATTAAAAACCATTTGTCTCCATTCACTCCTATCAAACACGCTCACGCATGCCTGCTGGAAGTCCAAGCCCCTCGCACACAAAACCTCCTTTACCCCTCCCTCCAACCCTTCCTAGCCGACCCCTACCCGCCTTCCTTCCACTACAGACTGATACACTCTTGAAGTCATTCTGTTTCGCTCCATTCTCTCTACATGTCCGAACCACCTCAACAACCCTTCCTCAGCCCTCTGGACAACAGTTTTGGTAATCCCGCACCTCCTCCTAACTTCCAAACTACGAATTCTCTGCATTATATTCACACCACACATTGCCCTCAGACATGACATCTCCACTGCCTCCAGCCTTCTCCTCGCTGCAACATTCATCACCCACGCTTCACACCCATATAAGAGCGTTGGTAAAACTATACTCTCATACATTCCCCTCTTTGCCTCCAAGGACAAAGTATCTTTGTCTCCACAGACTCCTAAGTGCACCACTCACTCTTTTTCCCTCATCAATTCTATGATTCACCTCATCTTTCATAGACCCATCCGCTGACACGTCCACTCCCAAATATCTGAATACGTCACCTCCTCCATACTCTCTCCCTCCAATCTGATATTCAATCTTTCATCACCTAATCTTTTTGTTATCCTCATAACCTTACTCTTTCCTGTATTCACCTTTAATTTTCTTCTTTTGCAAAACCCTACCAAATTCATCCACCAATCTCTGCAACTTCTCTTCAGAATCTCCCCAAAAGCACAGTGTCATCGGCAAAGAGCAGCTGTGACAACTCCCACTTTGTGTGTGATTCTTTATCTTTTAACTCCACGCCTCTTGCCAAGACCCTCGCATTTACTTCTCTTACAACCCCATCTATAAATATATTAAACAACCACGGTGACATCACACATCCTTGTCTAAGGCCTACTTTTACTGGGAAAAAATTTCCCTCTTTCCTACATACTCTAACTTGAGCCTCACTATCCTCGTAAAAACTCTTCACTGCTTTCAGTAACCTACCTCCTACACCATACACTTGCAACATCTGCCACATTGCCCCCCTATCCACCCTGTCATACGCCTTTTCCAAATCCATAAATGCCACAAAGCATATATGTGAACAGTATTTAGATAAAGGTAGGGAAGTTTTTATTGCATTTATGGATTTAGAAAAGGCATATGATAGAGTGGATAGGGGAGCAATTGGCAGACGTTGCAAGTATATGGAATACGTGGTAAGTTACTAAATGCTGTAAAGAGTTTTTATGAGGATAGTGAGACTCAGGTTAGGGTGTGTAGAAGAGAGGGAGACTACTTCCCAGTAAAAGTAGGTCTTAGACAGGGATGTGTAATGTCACCATGGTTGTTTAATATATTTATAGATGGGGTTGTAAAAGAAGTAAATGCTAGGGTGTTCGGGAGAGGGGTGGGATTAAATTATGGGGAATCAAATACAAAATGGGAATTGACACAGTTGCTTTTTGGAGATTCTAAAGAAAAATTGCAAAGGTTAGTAGACAAGTTTGGGAGTGTGTGTAAAGGTAGAAAGTTGAAAGTGAACATAGAAAAGAGTAAGGTGATGAGGGTATCAAATGATTTAGATAAAGAAAAATTGGATATCAAATTGGGAAGAAGGAGTATGGAAGAAGTGAATGTTTTCAGATATTTGGGAGTTGACGTGTCGACAGATGGATTTATGAAGGATGAGATTAATCATAGAATTGATGAGGAAAAAAAGGCGAGCAGCACATTGAGGTATATGTGGAGACAAAAAACGTTATCTGTGGAGGCAAAGAAGGGAATGCATGAAAGTATAGTAGTACCAACACTCTTATATGGGTGTGAAGCTTGGGTTGTAAATGCAGCAGCGAGGTGGTTGGAGGCAGTGGAGATGTCCTGTCTAAGGGCAATGTGTTGTGTAAATATTATGCAGAAAATTCAGAGTGTGGAAATTAGGAGTAAATAAAAGTATTAGTCAGAGGGCTGAAGAGGGTTTGTTGAGGTGGTTTGGTCATCTAGAGAGAATGGATCAAAGTAGAATGACATGGAGAGCGTATAAATCTGTAGGGGAAGGAAGATGGGGTAGGGGTCGTCCTCGAAAAGGTTGGAAGGAAGGGATAAGGGAGGTGTTGTGGGCGAGGGGCTTGGACTTCCAGCAGGAGTGCGTGAGCGTGTTAGATAGGACTGAATGGAGATGAATGGTATTTGGGACCTGACAAGCTGTTGGAGTGTGAGCAGGGTAATATTTAGTGAAGGGATTCAGGGAAGCCGGTTATATTATATAGCCGAACATGAGTCCTGGAAATGGGAAGTACATACAATGCCTGCACTCTAAAGGAGGGGTTTGGGATATTGGCAGTTTGGAGGGGTATATTGTGTATTTTTATACATATGTATACTTCTAAACTGTTGTATACTGAGCACCTCTGCAAAAACAGTGATTATGTGTGAGTGAGGTGAAAGTGTTGAATGATGATGAAAGTATTTTCTTTTTGGGGATTTTCTTTCTTTTTTTGGGTCACCCTGCCTCGGTGGGAGACGGCCGACTTGTTAAAAAAAAAAAAATTAACAAATTTACCAAGGAGCTAGTAGCCCCTTCTCTTGTATAAATTACTAAATTTGAAAAGAGAAACTTTTGTTTTTCTTTTTGAACCACCCTGCCTTGGTGGGATGCGGCCGCTTTGTTGAAAGAAGAAGATTAACAAATTTGTTAATATTATTAACAAATATTATTATCATGTGTTCGCATAAGCAGCACTGGATCTCATGAGCAGCAATAGATCTTATGCATGTGTACACATCAAGGGGCAAAACAATCACTCACATTAAGGGGTGAAACAATCACATCAAGGGGCAAAACAATCACATCAAGGGGTGAAACAATCACATCAAGGGGTGAAACAATCACTCATATCAAGGGGTGAAACAATCACATCAAGGGGTGAAACAATCACATCAAGGGGCAAAACAATCACTCACATCAAGGGGTGAAACAATCACATCAAGGGGTGAAACAATCACTTGCATCAAGGGGTGAAACAATCACATCAAGGGGTGAAACAATCACATCAAGGGGTGAAACAATCACTTGCATCAAGGGGTGAAACAATCACATCAAGGGGTGAAACAATCACATCAAGAGGCAAAACAATCACTGTGTGACTTTGTCAATGGTCCAAGTCGGACCGAAACGTCGTCGTAAGCTTCTCTCTTTTATGAGCGGGTTATTTGTGCATTGTAACAATGATGCAGATGAATCTGATTTTAATGAAGAACAAAAAGAAGAAGACGAAGATGATGAGGAGGGAGATCAAGCAAAAGGTGAAGAAGACAAAGAAGATGAAGGAGGAGGAGGAGATGAAGAAGGAGACAAGGAAGAAGACAAAGAAGATGAAGCAGAAGACGAAGACCAAGAGGAAAAACAAGAAGACAAACATGAAGAAGAAAAGAAGTTATAAGTGTCCTGACTCACCTTCACTAGGACAATTGTATCGCTCGAAATACCCAGTTAAATGTACTCGTTCATACTGTATGCTGTCTGAGGTGTGTATTGTTCCACGCTTCAAATGTATCGCAACTGTGTATTTTTCTGAAAAGGAAGACATGGGATATATTAAAGCAAAGCCATTCATTTTAATTACCTAAAATATTGAGAGGAATATGAGCTTAGTGAAAATATATTCTAGAAACACCTATGTACCACACCTATGTACCACACCTATGTATCACTCCTGTGTACCACACCTACACCCACAATTTTTCTAAGAATAAGGATTTTTTTTTAACGCACCATTCATCTCCCACAGAGGTTCGGTAACCCCCCCAAAAATGGCAACACATCCATCATCATTCCCTGCATCGCTATCATGGCAGAATAGTACCGACATCATAGTTCATGTGACATCCCGCCTCCCCTCCCCTGAGCTGTAGCTGACGTGTATTCATCAAAGACATTTCACAGCCCTTGGTGTGGCTCTCACCGTTAGAACTGAGAATTCTTCTCCAAGATACGATACTATATATCCCAAAAGGCACTACAGTGGACCCCGGCTTAACGATCACCTCCCAATGCGACCAATTATGTAAGTGTATTTAAGTAAGTGCGTTTGTATGTGTATGTTTGGGGGTCTGAAATGGAATAATCTACTTCACAATATTCCTTATGGGAACGAATTCGGTCAGTACTGGCACCTGAACATACTTCTGGAATGAAAAAATATCGTTAACCGGGGGTCCACTGTACTTACATTATACCACTCTCTAATCTACCCTTACCTCACCTATGGTATTTGTGCTTAGGCTTCTACTGTGACTAATCACCTTAAACCATTAATAACCCAACAAAAAGCTGCTGTGCAGATGATCACCAATTCCTGCACCAGACAACACATCACTCCACTTTTCAAGAGACTCAGGTTACTTAACCCTTTAAGGGTCACCAGGCCTTCTCCTAAACTCAGGGTTGGAAATTTTTTGAAAAAAAAAAATTATTTTTTCTTATGAAATGATAGAGAAATTTTTCCTGATCATAATAACACCAAAAGTATGAAATTTGATGGAAAACTTATGAAGTTAGCAGTCTCAACGATGTTTACACATCAGCAATTTAAGAACGTAAGAACATAAGAATGGAGGAACACTGCAGCAGGCCTGTTGGCCCTATTTTCGGCCAATTCCAATGTACCAGTTGACAAAAATCATAACTATTTCGCTAGAACTCCATTTTTTCTATTGAATGAGTACAAGAAACCACCCATCTACCAATTTCAACTATCCAATAAAGTTTTCAGAATTTGGCAATTTTCAAATTCAAATTCAAAGTTTATTCTCTATAAAGATTACAATGTTGAATTTACAGAATTTGGTTGTTGTGTGGTTTACATGTAGTTAAATAATGATTACAGAGTGTACCACTAGAACGCCTAGCATGGCTAGGCATTTCGGGCAGACTTAGTTTAATTCTTTATTTTAAAATACATATTACAAATTATGAGGTAAGTTGGTATTATGGCTAAGTGACTAAATACTAGTTTGTGAGTTTAGCAATGTGAATGCTTTTGTTTTGGCACAGTACATAGTTTCAGTATTGGAGTATCATAGATTCATTATTTTAAGATTGAGATTAATATTTCTGTTTATGGTCAAATGGGTGAGTGTAAGTGTGAACCACCAGGTGGTATTCGCATAGTTAGTTGATGGGGTGTATCAGGGAGATAAGATGTTTTCTAATGGTAGTTTTGAAGTGTGATGAATGTGTCTGCAGTTCTAGAGTTCTCAGGTAGGGTGTTCCAGATTTTAGAGCCTTTGACATACATTGAATTTTTGTAAAGGTTTAGTCGGATGCGGGGAATGTCGTAGAGATGTTTGTGTCTGGTGTTATGCCTGTGGGTTCTGTCACAACTATCAAGAAAGCGTTTTAGGTCAAGGTTGATATTGGAGTTTAAGGTCCTGTAGATGTAGATTGCACAGTAGTAAGTGTGGATGTACTGAACAGGGAGTAAGTTTAGATCTATGAAGGGGGGGGGGGGGGGTGTTGCCAGGGATGGGATTTAGTGATTATTCTTACTGCAGCTTTTTGTTGGGTTACTATTGGCTTTAGGTGTGTTGCTGCAGTTGATCCCAAGCACAAATAGCATAGGTGAGGTATGGATAAATAAGTGAGTGGTATATGTGAGAAGGGCATTTTGCGCACATAGTATCGTATCTTGGAGAGGATCCCAACCATTTTGGATACTTTTTTTGGTTATGTGTTGGATATGGGTGCTGAAATTCAGGTTGTTGTCAAGGTATAGGCCTAGGAATTTGCCCTCATTATGTCGGTAATTAGAGTGTTGTCAGTCTTAATGTTAATTTGTGCATCTCCTGCTCTGGCTACCAAACATAATATAGTAGGTTATGTCAGTGTTAAGCGTAAGTTATTAGCTGTCATCCAAGTCGATATTTTGATCAGCTCCTCATTAACAATGGTGTTGAGGTGTGGCAAGATTAGGGTGAGAGATGACATAAGTGTGCATCAGCAAAGAGAATGGGTTTCAGGTGTTGGGATATGTTTGGAAGATCATTGATGTATATGAGGAAGAGCAGGGGACCAAGGACACTTTCCTGCGGAACTCCAGTATCAAGTGGCCGTGTTGTTGATGCTGTGTCTTTAATGGTGACATACTGATACCTATTAGTAAGGTAAGATTTGAAATAAGCAAGCGCATGGCCTCTATATACCGTAATGGTCAAGTTTGTGGAGTAGGATGTCGTGGTCTACTGTGCCAAAAGCTTTTTTTAGGTCAATAAAAATTCCTAGTGGATATTCCTTATTTTCCAATGCTGTGTAAAGCAGATCTAGCATTTTTATGATTGCATCATTAGTGCTTTATTTTTCCTGAATCCAAATTGGCAGGGGTTGAGTATGTTTTGTGCTGTTATAAATGAATATAGTCTCCTGTGCATGAGTTTCTCAAAGATTTTGGATAGCAATGGTAAGTTTGATATTGGGCTATAGTTGTTTTAAGTCTGTAGGGTCACCACCTTTATGTATTGGTGTAACCCTTGCCATCTTGAGTAGTTTCGGGAAGGTGCTAGTTTCTAGTGACTTGTTAAAAAGTAAGAAATAGCATGCGAAAGGATATGGGCCGCTCGCTTGTACAGTAATGGTGGACATTAGACAGATTCCCTGAGTTGTTTTTAAGTGACTTTATAATCTCGGTGACTTCCGAGGGCTCAGTTCGTGCAAGATAGAAGGAATTTGGGAAATTCCCATCTAGGTAGCCCCGGCATGGGCATTGGTATGTGGGATTTTATTAGCGAATTAGATCCTATGGTCGAGAAGAAGTCGTTTATCTTGTTAGCTGTGTCAGTGGGATGTAGTGGTGTTTCATTAGGTTTAGTTAGGACAATATTCTTGTTTTTTTTAGTTTGTGGGTCCCTAGAATCTGAAGAGTGTTTTCCAGGTCTTTTTTATATCTCCTCTATTTTTTATTTTTTTTTTTATTATCACACAGGCCGATTCCCACCAAGGCAGGGTGGCCCGAAAAAGAAAAACTTTCACCATCATTCATTCCATCACTGTCTTGCCAGAAGGGTGCTTTAACACTACAGTTTTTAAACTGCAACATTAACACCCCTCCTTCAGAGTGCAGGCACTGTACTTCCCATCTCCAGACTCAAGTCCGGCCTGCCGGTTTCCCTGAACCCCTTCATAAATGTTACTTTGCTCACACTCCAACACACGTCAAGTATTAAAAACCATTTGTCTCCATTCACTCCTATCAACACGCTCACGCATGCCTGCTGGAAGTCCAAGCCCCTCGCACACAAAACCTCCTTTACCCCCTCCCTCCAACCTTTCCTAGGCCGACCCCTACCCCGCCTTCCTTCCACTACAGACTGATACACTCTTGAAGTTATTCTGTTTCGCTCCATTCTCTCCACATGTCCGAAAACCACCTCACAACCCTTCCTCAGCCCTCTGGACAACAGTTTTGGTAATTCCGCACCTCCTCCTAACTTCCAAACTAACGAATTCTCTGCATTATATTCACACCACACATTGCTCTCAGACATGACATCTCTACTGCCTCCAGCCTTCTCCTCGCTGCAACATTCAATCACCCATGCTTCACACCCATATAAGAGCGTTGGTAAAACTATACTCTCATACATTCCCCTCTTTGCCTCCAAGGACAAAGTTCTTTGTCTCCACAGACTCCTAAGTGCACCACTCACCCTTTTTCCCTCAATTCTATGATTCACCTCATCTTTCATAGACCCATCCACTGACACGTCCACTCCCAAATATCTGAATACATTCACCTCCTCCATACTCTCTCCCTCCAATCTGATATCCAATCTTTCATCACCTAATCTTTTTGTTATCCTCATAACCTTACTCTTTCCTGTATTCACTTTCAATTTTCTTCTTTTGCACACCCTACCAAATTTATCCACCAATCTCTGCAACTTCTCTTCAGAATCTCCCAAGAGCACAGTGTCATCAGCAAAGAGCAACTGTGACAACTCCCACTTTATGTGTGATTCTTTATCTTTTAACTCCACGCCTCTTGCCAAGACCTTCGCATTTACTTCTCTTACAACCCCATCTATAAATATATTAAACAAACCACGGTGACATCACACATCCCTGTCTAAGGCCCACTTTTACTGGAAATAATTCCCTCTTTCCTACATACTCTAACTTGAGCCTCACTATCCTCGTAAAAACTGTTCACTGCTTTCAGTAACCTACCTCCACTACACCATACACCTGCAACATCTGCCACATTGCCCCCCTATCCACCCTGTCATACGCCTTTTCCAAATCCATAAATGCCACAAAGACCTCTTTAGCCTTATCTAAATACTGTTCACTTATATGTTTCACTGTAAACACCTGGTCCACACACCCCCTACCTTTCCTAAAGCCTCCTTGTTCATCTGCTATCCTATTCTCCGTCTCACTCTTAATTCTTTCAATAATAACTTACCATACACTTTGCCAGGTATACTCAACAGACTTATCCCCCTATAATTTTTGCACTCTCTTTTATCCCCTTTGCCTTTATACAAAGGAACTATGCATGCTCTCTGCCAATCCCT